AAGGACCAGCCTGGCCCCCGAGCCCTCCCAGCCCACTGGCCCAGCTCTAGACTTGAGGCCCAAGGTGGACGGCCCAAGCACCCCCCACCCAGCCAGGGAGGCGGCCCAGGGACCAGGCTCCGCAAGGCACTCAAATCCACTGTTGAGATCTCGCAGGCAAGGGGGCGACTGAGCGGGTAGAGGCAAGATGACAGAAAGATCGGGGAGAAACACCCGGCGAAGCTCCAGGACTGGTTCGCACCTCTGCCCCCCACGCTGCCTCCCACGGCACCTGCAGTCGGGGTGCGGGTTACGTAAGGGGCTGTTGCTGGGGAACCTCTCCCCCGGGCTGGGGAGCCCCTTGGGCCCCTCCCAGCCTAGCCAAGAGGGAAGTTCTGGAACTTTCTAGGCCACCTCCTAGGAGGAAGGAAGCCAGGAAGGGCCCTCGGGAAGCCGAGCCCTCACCCCTCTGCGGCCCACCTTCCCCATGGCAGCCTGTCCGCAGCACTCCCCCGCCCCCCGGAGCCCAGCGCCTCTGCCACCCAGCCCAGAGCGCAGAGGGACAGGCACAGGGCTGGGTCATCCCAGGGCCGGAGTCTCTTTCCTAACAAGAGAAAGTTTGCTCAGAAAGTCACGGAGGTGGAAGAAATGGGCTCAGGAAACAAGTTACAGAGCGAAGAGGGGCCGCCTGGGGAGGGGACGGGAGGGCGCGGGCACCCAGAGCCGCCTCCTGGTCCGAGAAGAAAGCCCTGAACCAGTCCAGGTCAAGGTGAGCAGGTTTGGGGGGAAAAGGGCAAATCCAAGGGAAAGACGGGCGGTGGGGGGGTGAGAGCCCCACGGTCATGGGCAGCAAGGGCCCCTGCAGGCTGCCGGCACCGGGAGCTGGGCAGAGCGGGCCGAGGCTGAGCCCACAGGGACCAGATTTGGGGCGAGGACGGGTACCGTCCTTCAGACCTGCCAGCCAGAGAGGCCTGTGTCCAAGTCACAGCACCCTGCTTTGAATAAACTTTCAACTTGAAGACAGTGGTAAATGGACAGAAATAGTTGCAAAAATACCCCACCCCAGCGCTTCCCATGGGTCACACGGGCGGAGCGGTGCGTCTGCTACACCCACCAGCCCAGCAGACAGTCCAGGGCCCTGCAGTCGCCCCTCTGCTCCAGGGCCCCGCGTGCCAGCCGCGGCCCCAGGCTCCTCTGGGCAGTGTGAGGCGGACAGGCTGTGCAGGTGGCCGGCTGCGGATCGCGGGCTCCTCTCACGGTCGGATTGGGGGAGTGTGCTGTGACCTGGCCCACCCGGCGGAGGTGTTATCAGCGTCCCTTCTTCCACCTGGTCTCTCCGGAAGAAGTCACCCGGCAAGGACGGAAGCCCACCCTTAGTGTTGGTATCCTCGTGTGCCTTTGGAAACAGCACTTGGTGGTCTATCGAGACGTCCCCCCCGAATCGCTGAAACACAGTGAGGACCCGGCGCTGTCCTGCCCTGCGCGCACCTCGGCCGCTCCCTGTAGGCCACCTGCCGCCGGGACCAGCCACCTCGGAGGAAGCTGCCCGAGCCACGGGGTCACTGACGCCGCCGGGGTAAGCACTGCCCCAACCCTGTGCAGACCCACGAGTGGGCGGCAGGAACCTCGCTCTGCCTCTGCTGCTGCACAGCAGCCCCAGGTGTGCTGGCTACGGTGACCCCGCTGCAGGGGCAGGGCTCCCCCCGAGCGCCCCGTCCCAGGTGCCTCTGCGCTTTCCTGCTGATAACGCTGAGGCACAAAGAATGTGGGCCTGGCTGGGGGCCAGGAAACAGTACTCTGGACACAATTTGGAGAGTCTTCCCGCGTGACCCTGGCCGGCCGGCTGCCCGGAACACCTGGCGTGGAGGGAGGACGCGGTGAGGTCCAGGATGGGCAAGAGGAGGCCCTGATCCTGACGCCTGCCCCCACGGTGTTCTGCCTCCGGTTTCTCCTGCTCTGGAACTTTCTGGTTACCGACGACAAGTGCTTTAACCCGGGGAGGAGAAGAGAAGAGTTCTGATTGGGCGGCTCCTTCTCTTAGGAGGCTGCCAGGAGGAAGGAGGGGAGAGGGACAGCTCCCTTGACAGGCGGTCACCCCAGGCCCCGCTGGGCCCCGCGGTCGGTCAGACTGGCCCCGGAGAGGCTCTCGGGAGCGGACCCCGAGTTCGCGGGGCGGCACCTCGGAAGGGCGCTCCCGTCAGGGCTCCGCGAACCTTCGCCTGCCTTGCCAGGAGAACAGCTTGCTTGAGAAGCAGAGGCTGTCATCCTGTAATTAAATCTGAGACCCCCTCCCTACGTGACGTCGAGATGAAGCCACTTACATAACTCGGCTAAAAATAAGCTGGTGAGGAGCGGCACTCCTGCTCCCAGCCTCCCGGGCTGCCGTCCGGGGTCAGCCGGCCGGGGCACTGCACAGGCCCGAGGTCAGACTCCTGCTTCTGACCCAGCACACTGGAGGGCTGGGGCGGGCGCACGGGCAGGGCACCCCGGGTCAGTGCTGGCCGTGGCCACGGAGGCGGGACTGGAAGTGACGGGGAAACGCGGAATGCAGGCCCTAGTCACCCGCTTCTCAAGGACTCTGGATGAGGGGCTCATCACAGAGCCCGCTCCCCGCCCCACCCTCGCCGAGTGCGGGAAGAACACCCTGGTCTGGGGCGAGGCCAGGGCCTCGGTGCTGGTGGCTGGCCCTCCGCAGAGTCGGCCTTCTTACTGGTCCTCTGTGGGAAGAGCAAAGCTTCCCCGCCCATCACGACAGTGGCTTCCTCTGCTGGTCTGGGAGAGGGGTGGCCAGACCCCAAGGCCGGGCAGTGATTTCCCAGCTGCACCGACAGCCGACCTCCAGGCAGATCATTAGACCCCACGGTCCCCAACACAGCCCCAGAGGCCAGGTGCCACGGAACACTGTGGGCTCGTAAAGGCTCTGGCCGCCCCCCGAGTCAAAAGGGGCCAGGGCAGCGCGCCCTCCTGACTCCTGGGAGCCAGCGCTGGGAAAGGAAGGAAAGCCTCATGGGACATGGGGGTCTCCTGGGCTCAGACCTCCTCCTCCCGGCTGAAGGGGTGGCCACGCCCGTGCTGGAGACCTCTCAGGGCTGGCGGCTGGTGGAAGCCGCTGGGCAGGGCAGGTGCGACCCCCTCACCCACACCCTGCTCTGTGCCTGCTGTCACCCTGTGTGTCTCAGTGCTCAAGGCCCGATGCTCCTTCCTCTCCACCCATGTGGCAGGGGTTCCCTGACCTCTCTTCTGACTGACAGCGACCCTCCCAGCTGACCTCCTGCCGAGCTGCCAGGTGGAGGAACCCGAGGTGAGCACCCAGTCCGGCAGGAGCAGGACCCTCCAGAGGGTAGGGCAGGGCTGGGGACCACCCTCCCTCTACTGTCTGGGGGCTGACTCTCCTCCCAGAATGACCAGCCCCTACCTGTCACGCTTCTGGTCCCAGCTCTCCACTTCCCTCTGGGCCAGCAGCAGCTCATCCCTCCCCCGACCCGGCGCCACATTGGCCTCCAGACCCCCTCCAGGTCAATGGGTTCGAGCCCCAGGGCGGAGAGGACACTGTGTCAAGCTGGCCCAAAGGGAAAGGGAAAGACCAATAAGCACCCTCACCGTCAGAGCAGTGTGAGCGGTCTTCCTGTCCCTCACAACCCAAAGAATCCCAGAAACTGCGACCCTGGGATCTACCTTCAAACTGGGGGAGCTCCCAGGACAAACCGGGAAGCCAGCCTGTAGCCGGAAGGAAGTTAAACCCAAGGAAGACTCAGGCTGGGGAAGTGGACACGCTTCCTGCACCGTATCCTTCCTCTGCACCCCCGGGAAGCGGAGCGAGGGCCTGTGACTTGGGGCCCGTCTTCGTCCCTGCTGCCCGTCGGGGTCCGCGAGCTGTCTGGCGGTCTCGGTGTCTCTCGGGTGCCTGCTGTCCACGGATGATGAATGAAGGCTGTCCGGGGACGGGGTACTGCGGGGTCAGAGTTAATAAAGGGGAGACCCTCAGGTCTTGTGTTTTACAACGTATAACAGTTTCCCTACGTTACTCTAATTTGCGTAAATACTTCTCCGAAGGACTTACATTGGGAACCCACTGTGCCTGCCTGGTCTGCGTCCTCTGCAGAACCTCCCAGGAGGCCCCTTCAACCCGCAGAGCGGACCCCGAGATCCTCTGGGAAGGTCTCCTCCCAGGTCTCCCGGCCCGGCTGCCACCCCGCCCGCCCTCCGCAAGGCGGCTGCCCCCAGTGAGGATCCTCCGCTGCCGCGAGGGTGCCCCCCCCGCAACCTTCCTCCCCAGGGTGGCCGCTCTCCACAACCTGAGCCCCAAGTCTTCCCTCTGCCGGGGCCCCCCTTCTCCAGGCCGGCCCGGGAATCGCCGCTGCCTCGCAAACTTACCCAGGAAGGTGCCGGGTCGGGGACGGAGCCCGGGCAGCGCGCCGACCTCTCCCCATCCTCCAGCAAGTCCGCGCGGCCCGCGTCCGAGCGTCCGGGGACCGTCCCGGCCCCGCGCGCCCGCGGCCTCCCGCCCCGCCACTTCGCGAAGTACCGCCCCCACGCTCCTCGGCCGCCGGCGCCCCCTGCACCCCCACCTTCTGCTCTCTTCTTCCTGCGCCACCCCGCCCCCGCCTCCCCCGCCCCCAGCCCGGCTGTTGCCGGCCCCCCCAAGGCTGTTCCCAGGGCCCCAGCCCGCGCCGCGCCTCCGCCTCCTCCCCTGCGATCGACAGCGCCACCAGCCAATCGCTGCCCGGTGTCAGCCCCTCATGCCCCGCCCATTATCCCGCCCTCTTCCCCCGGCTCCGGAATCCACCAATGGGAAAGGACGGGCGGGGGCGAGGGCTGCCGGTTGCCTAGCAGCGGCGGGCTGGGCGGGGGCGGGCGGCCGGGGGTGGCGAACCGGCCGCGGCGGGGGCGGGCGTTCGGGGGCGGGGCCGGCGAGGGGGCGGGGCCTGCGCGGCTATAAAAGCAGCCGCCGGCGGACGGCCGCGCTCACGGTCAAGCTCCGAGCACCCCGTGCCTGTCTCCGCGGCACCCGGATCGCCGCCCCCGCCGCCGCCGCCGCCGCCTCCGGCACCTGCGCTCCCGCTCCGGTCCGCGGTGCAGCCGGACCAGCACCATGTCGCTGTCGCGCTCGGAGGAGATGCACCGGCTCACGGAAAATGTCTACAAGGTGAGCCCCGCGCCGCCCGCGCTACCGGGCCCGACCTGGCGGCCCCGGGCCCTCAAGGGTCTTAGCGACGCGGCCGCCGGGACCCGGCGCTGGCCGGTCACAGGTGTGCGCGGGCGCCCCCGCCTCGCCGGCTCCGCTGCCCCGCGCGGCCCCCCCGCGCTCCCCGCGCGCCTGGGACGGGGTGGGGAGGAGCGCGGGCCCGGGGTGCGGCAGCCGCGACCCCCGGGGCGGCCGGGGCCCGGGGGCGGCGGGGCCCCGGCCGCTCGTCGCTCTGCCCCTGCCGGCCCGGTGGCCCCTCCGGGCGCGGTTACGCAAGCCTCTGGCCACTTTTCCTCAACAGGCTCCTGCCCTCTCCAAGTCCGTCCCGGGCACTGGGGGACGCGGCCCAGGCGGGAGGTCGCGCGGGCAGGGCGGAGGGGGACAGATAATCCCTCGGCTTATGTAACCGCGGGGGAGAAGACTAATTGTGTAGGAGGCTGGCGCGCTGGCTCCGCTCGGATGTGTGTCGAGTGCGCTCGGATCCGCATCCTCCTCGGGAAGTCGCCGGGCAGCCCCGGGGCGGCCCCGCTAACGGGCTCCGGGGCCGCGCGTCTCCAGCATCCGTGTCCCCGGTGCGTGCCCCCCCACCCCGAACCAGCAGCCCGGCTGGGAGCCCGGGCCCGCCGCAGTGCCAGACGCCCTTCCGCGGCGAGGTCCGCCCTGGGCGGTCCGCGGCGCTGCTCCGACAAAGCTGGGCTTTATTTCGAAACTGTCTGAAGGTTCAGGGGAGGCTGCGAGCGCCGGGCGGCGCATTTGCATGGCAGTTGCTGGTTCCGGCGGCGAGACGGGGTCGCAGCGCGCTGGCAGAGCAACAGTTTCTGAGCGCATTGGACAGCGATGGCCTCGCAGCTGGAGGCTCGCTGGTTCCGGGCGCTGGGCCGCAGAGGGGCCTGGGTGGCTCCCCTGCCCTCAGCTGGAGCCCAGCGGGCCGCCTGCGCTCTCGCTCAGCGCCGGCAGGTTCCGAAGCCGGGGGCGGTCGCCTGGAAGGATCCTGAAGGCGGTCGGGGGCTGACGAGGGCACTTCTGAAGCCATGTTAGCGCTGCTGGCGATCGGGGTCCCTGTGGGAAGCAGCGGGAAGGAGTGCTTCGGGGTGTTGTCTGGTGTTATGCGGAAGCGGCTGGTTCTGGTCCTGCCGCCTGCAAACGCTCAGGGGAGGCGGGTCCTTCGGTGACTCCTCTGTCCCACTAGGACTGGCTCCTTACTGCAGGGGTGGGGAGAAGTGCTGGGCAGAGCTTTTTTCCTCCTAATTTCCCTGCTTCTGCAGCGAAACCATTAAACGGGAACTTCCACAGTGACGGTTGCAGGGGCACCTGGGTGGCTTCGCCCTGGGGAACCCCCACCACCGTCTGATGAAAGGTGTGCTGGGCCGGCTGCAGCTGTGGCCCGGCAGCTGCCCGTGGGCTGTGATTTGTCTGGATCTGAGTGAACTGTCAGCAGGATGGTGCAGGAAATCGTCAGCACGGAGCTGGAGCCCTGCTGGGAGCGGGCTGCAGGGTTTGGGACACATTCAACAGGCACGTCTGTGTTGGGTCCTGAGCTCCGTGGGCAGGTCGGGTTTGTGCCAGCACTTTACCTGCCAGCCCTCAAGTGCCCGCCCGGCACCTTTTGTTTTGTCACCAGGGAATGCGAGGTTCGTCAGTAGAGCCGGTACAGGTTGGGCAGCTTTGGCAGAAACCAGCCCACACGAAGGTACAGCCAGGACACAGCCACGTGTGTGGGGCCCTGGGACGGTTGGGCAGGTCCTCCGTCTTGTCCGGGATGGCGCTGCCTCTGCCCGACTTGGTGGCTTGCAGAAGAGTGGCTGGGACGTGGCCCTGCTCAGCACCACCTCGACCTGCAGCTCAGCACTTTGGCCCCCATGTCTCTTCTGCTGCAGTTCTGAGTGGTGTTGATCTTGCTGATTAAAACAGAAGAAAGCATCCAGTTTGATTCCTTTCCTGGAAGAATCTGTAACATAGTCCTTTGTCCTCTTTTCTTGTGGCCCAGTTCCCATGGGACCCGTGTCCACGAGGGATTTCATGGACGGCGAAGGGGACAGGAGCAGAGTCTCGTCCCAGGTTCCCCTCCAGGGGTGGGGTGCAGGCAGCAGGTACCCCAGGGTTGCCCTGGGTAATTGCCTAGGTGAGGGGCTGAGTGTGAGCTCTGAAGAGAGGTCTCTTAGCAGCTGACCTCGGCTCCTGGTGGTTCTGGAGAGTGGCAGTTGGGTCGGTGTTTTTTTCGTTGCTCCATGTCCCAGAAGCTCTGGTTCTTGTGACCAGATGACCTCTGAGGCTAGCGGCTCTGGCGCGTTCTTTAGGAATAGAGTGCCACTTGGGAGCTGGGGGACAGCTTGAAGAGGGGGAACAGTCCCCAGGGAAGACTCCGGCGTGGTGATTCAGTGTCATGACCCACGGGCCTGGGCCAGCATGGCTGGGTTGGTCACCAGAGGTTGTCATCACTGCAGCTTTTGTGAGGAGGCCGGCCTGGTCATGGTGGGGACCCTTGCAAGGGTGGTGAGTGCCAGTGGACCTCTGCAGCTGGGAGTTGGTGCAACTGGTAAGGGCTGGTGCCAGGTGGGTGTTGGGTTCTGGCAGGAGGCAGCCCACATGGCAGGTGAGAACCCACTGCTGGCTTTCTGATCAAGGTCTGGCTGACTAGGCCCTGCCTACTACCCCCGCCACATTCCACCCACTGTTCCAAGTGCGTGTTCAGGGGCGTGGTGGGAAGCATGGGGCCTCCAGGTTCTCTGCTGCTGACCTCAGATCCCTACACCCTCACCCACACCTGGGCAGTCACACCAAACTGTTGGCGGCCTGGCGTCTGGAGCAGACAGAGCTCAGCAGGCTACCAGTCGGAACTGGTGAAGTCGGCTCTGTGATAGGTACTTTCTGGGCTACAGAAATGCCTGCGGGCGGAGCAGGCCGGAGCTTTGCTGAGGCGGCAAGGATCACAGCGTTGTGCCAGCTCTGTTGGTGTGAGCATGTGCTTGTGTGTGCGCACGCGGAGAGCGTTTGTGCATGTGTGCACGAGTGTATGGGTGTGAGTACATGTGTGTTCTCGTGTGCATGAGTATATAGGAACTGTTCTCATGTGCATGTGTGAATGTGTGCATGAGTACCTGTGTACATGCGTGCACATGAGTGCATGTGTGTGGTGTTTTGTTTGCTTTGCTTCAGAGGTATTTCCAGGTGTGCCCCGTTGGGGGATTGTCTTCTGAGATTGGCCTGCTGGTCCTGCATGGGCCATCTGCACCCCTCTCCTCCCGCTGCTTGGCGGTGCCTTCCCGCCACCAGTGTTTCAGCAGCCGTACCTCTGCCCTTGCTCTCCGGAGCAGCCCCCGTGGCAAAGCGCATTCTCTGCCACACTGATGTCAGGCTGACGGGTGTCCTCAGCTCCTGAGCCCAGGTCACTTCCCAGAGAGCATGGGCTCCGTGGTGCCAGGTGCCAGCATTTGTGGTGAAGGCAGCGGGAGGCTCGGGGCGCTGGGCCCAGGGACTGGAGGGTCTCGCCTGTGCCGCGTCCCGGTGGGGCCTGCCTTGGGCGCGTGTGCTTGCTGGCTCCTGTGACACCGTGTGTGCCGGAGGCTCCAGGTCAGAATGGTGCCCGTGCCGGCCCGGGGTTCGTGGGCGCAGTCGTGGGGGGGGGGTGGCAGAAGCTGCGTTCTTGTTACCTCGTTCACTGGAGCTCCTTGAGGGTCGCTAAGGTCCCCCCTGGGCCCCACCCCAGGATGGGCAGTGCTGGCTGGGCTGCTGGGACACATGGCCTTTCAGGAGAGGATGGGCCCCAGACCAGGAGTCCCCATCCCCTCCCGACCACAGAAAGGCAGGCCTGCAGGGAGCCCAGGCTCTGCTGACTCTCCCTGCAGCCTGCGGGTCTGGGTCCCGCTCTGGGAGCTCAGGAATGTCTGTCTCTGCGGGACCACCAAGCAGGTGGCAGGCGAGGCTGGATTTGCTGCTCACTGGTCCCCACCCAGCTCCTCACGGCACCCGGTGAAGAGAGAGTGGCTGGGGGTGGGAAGGCAGGACCTGATCAGCTACTGAATCCTGTGACCTTGAGAACTTTAGGGGCCGGCGGGGCTCTGCATCTGTGTGGGGGGCCAGCTGACCGGCTTTGGGGCCTTGAGTTGGCCCTTGTACCTGCCTTCGGTTCCTTCTCCAGCTTGCGCTCAGGAGCGCCGTCTGGGTGCCGGGCGCCGTGGGCAGGCTGGGAGGGATTCGGAGCCTGTGTCACTCCCCCTGCCACACGCACAGTGGCCAGGATGGTCTGGGTCCCTGCTGGCTCCAGCGACAGCCACGTCCTGGGATGCGAAACGGAGTCCCGAGGGCCCTGCCACCTCTTCCGGGGCAGCGTGTGTGAGCTGTTTGGATGGGCGCCGGGTCACGGGGACCACCCGGAGGAAACGAGACTGCGGTCACAGAGGGCTGCTGTCTGCTCGGGCGGGCCTCACTCACGAACCGGTTCACAGTCACTTGGCAGTCTTTAGTCACGTATCGGTTACACGTGAACAAACGCGTAGGGTTTTCCTAAACCTTCTTTGCGTCCGGAGTCTGGTCTTCTGAGCCCCGCCCAGCTCCAGGCTGCCAGGTGCCCGGCCTCCGCCCCTGAGCCAGGGTGCCGGTGCCCAGTTTCCGGAGCGTGTCTTGGGGGTTTTCTTTCAAGCCCCTCGGCTCTTGTTCTGCCATTTTTGTCACAAGCACCTTCTTATTTCTTGATCAAAGGTTTTCTAATGACAGCCAGGACCCTAGTTCCTTCCAAGTTGCTGAGGGGTTCATGGACGTAGGGTGCCGGCTTGCTCCTGCCCACCTGCAGGGCTCCGTCGCCAGGGGGCCCTGCACGGTGACGATACAGGTGTAGCGGGCCGAGACCTGCCCTGCGTTTCGTGATTGTCTGGCTATGGCTGAAATAGACATCTTGACATTGGAATGGGGGGCCCACCTGGGGGTCCACCCCTGGAGCTAGAATTCCATCCAGTGGGGTGTTC